GGAAGGAAGGAAGGAAGGAAGGAAGGAAGGAAGGAAGGAAGGAAGGAAGGAGAAATAGTTAATGTCCCCTAAATAGAGGACCTGTGTGACTAGTGGACAGAGATGGGAGGAAACTTTACTATATTCCTTTTTGTGCCTTTGAATTTTGAACATGCGAATTTATTATTTTGTGAAATGAAAACTGATACTAAAATATAAGAGCCTGTGCACATTCCCTGACCCCAGAGTACAGCACAGAGCACCCCTTCTTCCCAGTCCCCACCCCAGAGCCTACCCACTGCCTTTATCCAGTTGCTTAGGAGGTAGCTGTGTGGCCTTGGGCACATCACTTAACCTCTCTCTCTAAACTGGTAGGAGAATGTCCTCTTCTCTACCACCTGGAAAGTAATGTACCAACTCCATAGGGTTTTAAGGATGAAACGAGATGATACAGGCACAGTAGCACGTTGCCTAGCACACCCAGGTACTCAATAACCAACGTGGCACAAAGATAATAATAACATTAGTCGCCAGGGATGGTGGCTCATGCTTGCACTCCTAGCTACTTGGGAGGCTGAGGCAAAAGGATTATTTGAGCCCAGGCGTTTGAGACCAGCCTGGGTAACACAATGAGATTCCTGTCTCAAAAAACAAAAAAAAAAAAAGAGGAGATAATGATGGTACTTGTCATAATTTTTTTTTCTCTTTTTTTTTTTTTTTTTTTTTTTTTTTTTGATTCCTGTCTCAAAACAAAAAAAAAAAAAGAGGAGATAATGATGGCATTTCAAGTCATAATTTTTTTTCTTTTTTTTTTTTTTTTTTTTTTTTTTTTTTGAGACAGAGTCTCACTCTGTCACCCAGGCTGGAGAGCAGTGGCACGATCTCTGCTCACTGCAAGCCCCACCTCCCGGGTTCACGCCATTCTCCTGCCTCAGCCTCCTGAGTAGCTGGGACTACAGGCGCCCGCCACCTCGCCCGGATAATTTTTTGTATTTTTAGTAGAGACGGGGTTTTCACTGTGGGTCCCAATTTTCTGACCTCGTGATCCGCCCGCCTCGGCCTCTCAAAGTCCTGGGATTACAGGCTTGAGCCACCGCGCCTGGCCTATTGCCATAATTTCTATTGGGCTGGGTTCTGGATGAGCCCAGGCTCTCCTTTAGGCCCTCCTCCTGCTCTCCACTCACCACTATTTCTTCTTCAAAGACCTTTTCACCTTCATTCACCTTCTGCAGCTCAGTGTGTTCATATTCGTATGATGGGTCCCCCATGAAGCGGCCCTTCACCACAGACGACTGTGCCACCATCTCCTCTGTGGCAGGGGGTAAGAGGCTCCACTCTGTGCAGTTCAGGCTGCCAACAATATTCACATCACTCCTGGATTCAAACTCCCCTGCTCACCCACTATTCCTATTACCTTCCCTTCTCTCTATTGGGTTAGGGCCAGGAAAAGCTGTTGAAATGGCCACCTTTCCTCCTAATGCTGTCATGAGACCATCAGAAGCCCCAAGTGCTGACTGGGCATGGTGACTCATGCTTGTAATCCCAGCACTTTGGGAGGCTGAGGTGAGCGGATCACTTGAGGTCAGGACTTCAAGACCAGCCTGGCCAACATGGTGAAACCCCGTCTCTTCTAAAAATACAAAAATTAGTGGGGCATGGTGGCACATGCCTGTAGTCCCAGCTACTCAGGAGGCTGAGGCAGAAGAATCACTTGAACCAGGGAGGCGGACGTTGCAGTGAACCAAGATTTCCCCAGCCTGGGTGACAGAGTGAGACTCCGTCTCAAAAAAAGAAAAAAGAAGCCCCAAGTGTCAATAGTGAGCACACCCCTCATATGTGATAAGCAGATTCAATTTCATTCATTCCATGTATGCTGAAATTAAATGAGCCTCTTCCTAGATATCCAGACTATGAAATTCCAGATGAGTTTCTGGTAGCTGAACTTTCCTCAGTTGTGTGGACCCATGTTTTGGTGGGCCCTAAATTCATGCTCAGCCTGCCCACTGAGTCAACAGCACAACCATTTCGTCCCATTTCTCAGAAATGCCTAGCCTATGCTCAAGGACTTCTCCTTTGAGCCCTTTGGGAGCACTCACCAGGCCCACCCAGTCCCTTCTTTCTCACTTCCTGCTGCTGGGAGAGGAGGTCCTTCCCACTCCTCTCAAATATACCCTGGGCCTAGGTCCCCAGTCTGGCCTCTGCTCATCTTCCTGCCCTTCACTCTCCACCAGTTCCCCCTCAACATAAAAACTGCTCAGCTGGCCAGGCACGGTGGCTCATGCTTGTACTCCCAGTACTTTGGGAGGCCGAAGTGGGCAGATCACTCGAGACCAGCCTGGCCAACATGGTGAAACCCTGTCTCTACTAAAAATACAAAAAAATTAGCCAGGCCTGGTGGCAGGTGCCTGTAATCCCAGCTACTCGGGAGGCCAAGGCAGGAGAATCGCTCAAACCCAGGAGGCAGAGGTTGCAGTGAGCTGAGATCATGCCATTGCAATTCAGCCTGGGCAGCAAGAGCAAAACTCCGTCTCAAAAAAAACAAAAACAAAAACAAAACAAAAAAACTACTCAGCCTACTAAAACAGCAGCCCCCAAAATCCATGTCCGTCTAGAAAATGCTGTTCCTGTCCTTCCCTCCCTCTTTCCCAACTCTCAACAATAATCTCAGAACAACAATTGCCCTGTGGGGGCCTTTCCTCCCCATCCTTTTCACTCTTCAGCCCACTATGCCATGATTTCTGCCCCCACCACTTCAAGAAACTGCTTGGGAGAAGGCCATCCATGACACCTAACAGCCAACAAATGCATCTCCATCCAGTTCTATTTCCTCTGACATCTTCCTTCCTCCTTCTCCAGGGTCTTAAGTATTTCCAGGGACCTATTCTCACCCTTCTTTTCTTTTTGCAGTCTTACCCACCTGCCTTCCAGAGCCCCAGCTACTACCTAGTCCATATCCAGAATCCAACCACTTCCAAAGCTCCCACCCTGGCCCAAGCCACCATTCCCTACTGTCTAGATATTACCATACACTCCTAACTAGTCTTCCTGCCTCTACATCTATTCCGCCTTTGGACTAGTCCCCACCCAACTGTTCACACCTAAGCCGTCATGTCACTCCTCTGCGGAACCTTCCAATGGCTTCCAATTAAGCCAAGTCTTACAATGCCCCACAAGGCCCTGTGTGATTGTTTCCTACCCCTCACCTCTCTGAATCTTGTGTCCTACAACACTCCCCTCACTCATTCTTCTCTAGCTACACTAGTCTCCATTGGGTTCCACAAACACACTAAGCACAAGGGCATTTGCACTTGCCTAGAATTCTCTTCCTGTGGATATTTAAGTAGTTCACTCTCTCAGTCACTTCAGGTATCTTGTCATATGTGACCTTATCAAAGAGGCTCTCCATGACCAAACTATTTAAAATAGTACCCCATCCTGTATTCGCTCTTTTTGTGTGTGTGTGTGTGACGGAGTTTCACTCTTGTTGCCCAGGCTGGAGTGCAATGGTGCAATCTCAGCTCACTGCAACCTCTGCCTCCCAGGTTCAAGCGATTCTCCTGCCTCAACCTCCCAAGTAGCTGGGACTACAGGCTTGCAACACCACGCCCAACTAATTTTGTATTTTTAGTGGAGACAGGGTTTCTCCATGTTGGTCAGGCTGGTCTCAAACTCCCGACCTCAGGCAATCCGCCTGCCTCAGCCTCCCGAAGTGCTGGGATTACAGGCACGAGCCACTGCACCTGGCCCATCCTGTATTATCTATCCCCCTTAGCTTTTAACATCATCTGATATGTAACAGATGTGTGTGTTTAGCTATTGTCTATCTTTCCTTCCCTGTCCCCTAAACACACACTACAATGTAAGCTCCATAAAGACAAGGATTTCATTTACCACTGAGCTCCTGGTGCCTAAATCAATGCCTCACACATGATAGCACACAGTAGGTGCTCAGCAAATGCTTATAGAATAAAATGAAATGAATCCCAAATCTCTATCTTTAGTTCAACTTTTTCTTCTGTATTCCACATCTGTACTTTAATATACTTTCTTAACACCTTGTAACTCAGGTACCTCACACCAAATTCACTATGTCTTCCCTAGTCCTGCCCCTGAATTCTCTCCTACTGAGTGGTATTAGTACTTAACTTACTCAGCTGCCTAAGCTAGGAGGGGTCAGCCTTGACCTCTTCTTTATAACAATCCTTATTCAACCTCACGTGTCCTGACAATTCTAGTACTTAAACCTTTCCAACCCATCCCCTCCTCTGCATTCCCTGGGCTATATCTTCCTTTTAGGCCTCATTCATACGGACACTACAATGGACTCCTAACCACAGTGCTCACCACACTTTCAGGCCATTCTGCCCACTCTGATCTGAGCAGGCTCTTCTTGCAAGCCCCTCAGTAGCTCCCCATGTTCTATAAACAAAGTTCCATATCCTTTTGCCTCTAGAACCAGTTCTACACAACATCATACTACTGTTTTCCCAAACACTCTGAGCCTTCCCCAGCCAACAAGTTTGTCTAACTGTTCCCTAAATAAATAAGCCGTGCTGGCCTATTTATTTATTTAGAGACAGGGTCTCTCTCTGTCACCCAGGCTGGAGCGCAATAGTGATCCATAGCTAACTGCAACTTTGAACTCTTGGGCTCAATCCTCCCACCTCAGCTTACTGAGTAGCTGGGACTACAGGTGCACACCACCATGCCCTGCAAATTGTTTTCTTTTTTTTTTTGAGACAGAGTCTCGCTCTGTCACCCAGGCTGGAGGGCAGTGGCATGATGACGGCTCACTGCAACCTCCGCCTCGCGAGTTCAAGCAATTCTGCCTCAGCCTCCCGAGTAGCTGGGACTACACGTGCCCGCTACTACACCAGGTTAATTTTTCGTATTTTCAGTAGAGACGGGTTTCACTGTGTTAGCCAGGATGGTCTCAGTCTTCTGACCTCGTGACCCTCCCGCCTCGGCCTCCCAAAGTGCTGGAATTAAAGGCGTGAGCCACCACGCCCTGCCTTTTTTTTTTTTTAATGGATGAGGTCTTGCTATATTGCCCAGGCTGACCGAATAGACTGCTTTATAAGGTAGTAAGCTCCCCTTTAGTCAAAAAGAGGTTGGCTGGGCGTGGTGGCTCACGCCTGTAATCCCAGCACTTTGGGAGGCCAATGTGGGTGGATTACTTGAGGCCAGGAGTTCAAGACCAGCCTAACCAACATAGTGAAACCCTGTCTCTACTAAAATTACGAAAATAAGAATAAATAAATAAATAAATAACCGGGTGTAGTGGCGCGTGCCTGTAATCCCAGCTACTCGGGAGGCTGAGGCAGGAGAATCGCTTGAACCCGGGAAGCGGAGGGGGCAGTGAACCAAGATGGCGACACTGCAAACCAGTCTGGGTAACAGAGCGAGACTCTGTCTCGAAACAAAAATAAATAAATAAATAGTCTGGATGGTCCTGTATGGTAGTGACCAGGAAGTATGGTAGTGACCAGGGAATTTTCCCCGGCTCTCTCCCCATTCCGCATTCGTTCTCTACTTCCAAAAGCGCCTCCAGCTGCAGAGTAGACACCTCCATCAAAGAGCACCACCCTCTCCCTCGGGCGTCTGACCCTCCTCCAAACTGAGCCAGGCCCAGCACTTGGTTGGAACCTGGTTTCTTCTCCAGGTCCGCATTTTCCAGAAACCTTCCCACTGCTTCACCTGCGTTCTTGGCCCTGCCTCTCTCGTAAACCCATCCGCATCTAAGTTTCTCTTGGCCTCCTCAGGCGGAGAACACGCTCTCGCAGGGCCCCGCCCTCCGGGACCTACCCCCGTCCATTGCCCCGCCCCCTCAGGCTCCGCCCTAGCCTCAGATTCCGCGACTTCCCCAACCCTGCCTTTTCCCTCAACCACCTCTTGACCGTCCCCAGGCCCGCCCCACCAGGCCCTAGGCCCTTCCCCATTCCACTCATCTCAGATCCCGCCCACATCTCCCTTGGCTCCATGGGCTCCGCCCCTTTCAATTGCTACGACCCGCCCACCCCGCCCTGCCTCTAGGAAGCCACCCTCTGGGGTCCGGCGGCGGCCCCGCCCCGGGGGCCTCCTCACCTGTAGAGCGTCTTGCGCGGTGCGAGCTGGTCCTCACTCAGGCCCTGCGCGATGTAGTAATCGGCGACGAGGCCAAGGATGCGGCCCCAGAAGAGAACCCGATCGTAGCGGTAGTCGCGCTTAACCAGCATAAGAGACGTGAGCAGCGAGGCCCGACGGTCCGGGCTGAGGCCCTGCCCACTGCCGGACACCAGCTCCAGAGACAGCAGGAGGCTGTCGGCGTCCATCAAGCCAGCGTCTCTGCTCAACGCCCGTCGAGTTGCTAGGAGAAGCTGCCTCCATGGAGACCTGAAGCTCCGCCCTTCCGCCTAGCAGTACGCTGGTTTCCACCCACCCCACCGCCTACCGCCCAGCCCTCCTCCCCACGGAGGCCTGGGCAAACATCAGCCCCCTCCCTCTTCCTTTCCAGAATTTGGGACGGATGTCTTCAGTTGTCACGGCCACAGCATGGCTTCCCCTACTGTTAGGCTACAGTGTGGGGTTGGAGGTCCCAGCCCAGCCTTTTTCCATAGATATTTGGCCCTCCCTGAGCCCTTTCACATAGTCGACAGTCTTCACCGTATATGCACCTGGGGTCTGGAAAGAAAACAATACAAAACCCCAACACTGACACTAACTGTACTATTTCACCCGTCATGTCACTTCTTAACCTCAGAATGATCTGTGAAGAAAATAATTTGAGATGTCTCCTGGCTCTAATTAAGATTCTGTCATCGCCACTACCTCCACCCTCACCCCACCCCAAGCCAGGTCTTACAGATTGAGGTCCATCCATTCTCGTCCATCTTCACCAGCTGTCTTCATCTACCCTTTCCATAGAAATATTCTAAGTGACAAATGAAAATCTAGGCAATGGGGCAATCTCATCAACTACCACCTTTCTCATCAACTACCAACTACCACCAACTGTTGTTTTTAGATCCAAATGGTAGCAAGAGATGAAAGGCCAGAACCTCACTGCAGCTGGAGCTTCACTCCCTGGGCTAGACTACTTCTCCACATTCACTTCTTGACTCCCCAGGCAAGGACAAACATAAACAAGTTCCTCAGCAAGCTTGTTGCCACAGGAGATGGACTTTATTGTTAATGTTGCTAATTTAATATTTTCATTTCTGGATTCCTTTGAAGAGCACTCAGGAAATCAGAATGACCTGGGCCCCAGCTGATAAATAAGTGTCTAAATTACTCAGATAATTACTTTTTTGATTGTCTGGGCATTGTTGGTTTTTGGGGATTGAGACAGGGTCTCACTTTGTCACCCAGGTGGGAGTGTAGTGATGTGTGATGTCAGCTCACTGTAGCCTCAACCTCCTGGGCTCAAGTGATCTTCCTACCTCAACCCCCCAGGTAGCCGGGACTACAGGTGCATGCCACCACGCCCAATATTTTTTGTATCTTTAGTAGAGATGGCGTTTTGCCATGTTGGCCAGGCTGGTGTTGAACTCCTGAGCTCAAGTGATCCGCCCACCTCAGCCTCCCAAAGTACTGGGATTACAGGCATAAACCACCACGCCCAGCCTTAGGCATTGCTTATGAAGGAAGGCATTGTTATGAGATCAGCCTGACCAACATGGTGAAACCCCGTCTCTACTGAAAATACAAAACTTAGCCAGGCATGGTGGTGCACAGCTGTAATCCCAGTTACTCGGGAAGCTGGGGCAGGAGAATCGCTTGAACCGGGGAGGCAGAGATTGCAGTGAGCCAAGATCATGCTACTGCACTGCAGCCTGGGCAACGCAGCGAGCCTGTCTCAAAAAATACAACTAACTAAATAAATAAAATTAGTATTTGAGGGAGTTGATTTGGCTTAATGTGTTATCTCAAAACGATTTATGGCTCCCTGGTTTACAACCACCCCCACTCCCTTTAGGCAGACCCCTCAGCCTTTCCTTTCCCTGAGCGGGAGATATGGCTCAATCTCTCTTCTATAATAGCAGTAGACAGAAAAAGTCAAAATTCTGGCTGGTAGAATATGCTTCAAGTGGTCATAGCACAGAAAAGAGCCCAGGCGTTTTGCTTTCATTGATTCCATATTTACTCAGCACCTATTGCAGGTTCCATGGCAGACACCAGAATCTGAAGCCAGAGAGGAAAATCTTACAGCTTCCTGATGCTAATACCTTTGGCAAGGCAAATCTTGGCTAAATATTTCAGAGTAAAACCACATAGGATGTGCAGTACTGTAGGCGAATCCAAGTTTCACCACTTAGGCAAACTGCTCAATCTCCCCTGGCCCTATCTATAAAATGGGGACAATAATTCATGCACTGCAGAGTTGTTAGGGTTAGATAATGTAAGTGCTTAAAACAGTACATATACTTTTAAAAAAATAGTGTATTTTAGGAGTACATATATGTATCTTATACTATGTACATACGTGTGAGTATATATATACCTTTTTTGTGTGTGTGTGAGACAGAGTTTCACTCTGTAACCCAGGCTGGAGTGCAGTGGCATGATCTCAGCTCACTGTAACCTCCACCTCCTGGGTTCAAGCGATTCTCCTGCCTCAGCCTCCCAAGTAGTTGGGATTACAAGTGCCCACTACCACGCCTGGCTAATTTTTTTTCTTTTTTTGAGACAGGGTCTCACTCTGTTACCCAGGCTGGAGTGCAGTGGTGTGATCTTGGCTCGCTGCAACCTCTGCCTCCTGGGTTCAAGCAATTATTCTGCCTCAGCCTTCCCAAGTAGCTGGGATTACAGGCACTCGCCACCAAGCCTGGGTAATTTTTGTATATTTAGTAGAGACAGGGTTTCACCATGTTGGTCAGGCTGGTCTTGAACTCCTGAACTTGTGATCCACCCACCTCAGCCTCCCAAAGGGCTGGGATTATAGGCATGAGCTACCGTGCCTGGCCTTTTTTTGTGTGTGTATTTTTAGTAGAGACGGGGTTTCACCATGTTGGCCAGGCTGGTCTCCAACTCATGACTTTAGGCGATCTGCCCACCTCAGCCTCCCAAAGTGCCGGGATTACAGGCATGGGTCACCCACCTAGCCTATATATACCATTTATATATTATACATACACATGCATATACCTATCCCCAACACCAGCAAAGTGTGGATTCTGTCTTCAACTTGCTTCCAAAAATTGAGGTGTTTGGCCAGGCACAGTGGCTCCTCCCCTCTCACTATTCAGCATACCTGCTCAGTTTACTACAAACCAAGCACCAGGCCAGACTATTTCCCAAAATCACTGCTTTCATTCAGTGGCCCAGTAAGCTAAGTTCTTTACCACAATCTTCCCACATAAAGATGACCTCTGCTTTGGGGGATACAGAATTTAAGCATCACAAAAATCTGTATGTGATAAGAAAAGCACACTGGCTAAAAGATAGCTAATGAGGACTCTAGTCCTAACTGTGTTATCAAAGTACATATGCACTTGGCCAAGTCACTTAACTTCCTAGACTAGCCTGGGGCTGAAGAAGAGAAAAAATCATTATTAAAAAATCCTAAAGCTGGGCACAGTGGCCCACACCTGTAATCCCAGCACTCTGGGAGGCCAAGGCAGGTGGATCACTTGAGGTCAGGAGTTTGAGACCAGCCTGGCCAATATGGTGAAACCCCATCTCTACTAAAAATACAAAAATTATCTGGGTGTGGTGGTGGGCACCTGCAATCTCAGCTACTCAAAGGCTAAGGCAGGAGAATTCCTTGAACCTGGGAGGCAGAAGTTGCAGTGAGCCAAGATTGTGCCACTGCACTCCAGCCTGGGCGATAGAGCAAGACTCCATCTCAAAAAAGAAAAATATAATAAATTTTTGAGAAGCCCTGAAGCAGAAGAGGCCAAGGAGAAAGACAAAATAGCCTAAAACCTGACAAGTTATTTTAAGTCAAAACAATTTCAGGAAAATATAATAAGAATCTATTTATTTTATATTTAAATTCATAAGTCACATCCACATTATGTTCCTGGGAAAAATTCTGAAAGGACACAGCAAGGAGCAGAAAGGGCCACCTTCATAGAGTTTCTGTCTATGGACCCATCTTTGCTTTACAACCCCTAACAGAAATACCTGACCCAGCACCCTCTGGGAAAATCAACCTTTGATTCAAAGAGATGTTGTTCAGCAATGATTACAGTCACCGCCACATGCCATCAGCCCATCAGGAAACCTGAGGAGGGGAGGCAGACAACCAGAAGGAGAGTTGCTTCGTCTCTCACCAGGAAGAAACTCTAGCTCCAAACTAGATGGGTAATTCAGTGCCACATGAAGAAAGATAATTCAGCCATTGTGTTTTTATAATTAAGAAGCACTCATTCACTCGCGGAAGCCTTTAAGTGTCACTGGTGCCTGGAACCAAATGTAGTCTTCCCAAGCCGGGGTTCGGATGGAAGGTCTGCCACATGACAGGGTCACAGTCAGTTTATGGCCCCGGCTGGGCACTCGATAGTTGAGCTTGGGTTGAAACCAATCTTCTCCACAGTCGCGGTGTCCCTGTGCCATGATGATGGTGCCCATGAGAGGAGGAGCCTGAAGCTCACTAAAGGCATCAGCCATGAATATGGCTCGGAAGAGACGGCGCAAACAAGCTGCTGTGCTCAGGCTCTGGTCCATGCTGTAGGGGGCCAGCAGAGACAAATCGAGTTCATAGAACTCCTTGGGGCTTAGGGAATTGCCCCCAAGGAGAATCAGCACTCGTGGTACTAGTGTCCGCGCAAAGAAGTCCTCCAGGTGGCTGAGGACACTCTCCAGTTCTGCCACAGCTTGTTGGCATTTCCTGCTGCTCACCTCAGTGGTGGCCCGAGGTTTCTTCTTCAGCATCTCCTCTGCCTGTGAGGACAAAGAATGGCGGGAGAGAAGAACAAGGCAGGGGGAAGCTAATGCCCTTTGAAAAGAACCCTGCTGGGATGTGTACATAGACTTACAGGACTGAATTTCTAGCTCAGTGAACCGCCACAGCCAAAACACTGTGTTTTATCAGAGGGCATTATACTGAAAAGGAAAATATATTATTTGTACAAAACCATAATTCTCCCACATATAGAACAGCAAACACAGTGTTCTGAAGGTGGAGAATATCCAGATATAAACAACTAAAATAGAGATTTGGTGGTATGACAAAGTGACAACAAATTTTTGCTATACAGGGAGTGATAACAGGAATATTACTAAAGGATTATTTGGTCTAATAAACATGACTCTGAACTTGTTCTTCCACTTAAACATAGTAAACTGAACAATGCTTATTTGCGCTTCCACCTGAAATACTACAAAATGAGAGAAAAGAAATTAAGAAACAAATGAACGAAAGAAGAGGAAAGACCGAGAAAGAAAACTCCCAAGGGCAAAGAACTGGAGACTACACAACACTAGTCAAATGCAAACACAAAGTTTTGGAAGACAGAAAGAGGATGAAGAGTTGGCCGAGCGCAGTGGCTCATGCCTACAATCCCAGCACTGAGAGTCCGAGGCAGGTGGACATGAGGTCAGGAGA